TCTTCAGTGACTCAGAGCATTCAGGACCTTGGGTTTATGTCTAATCCAGAAGATGGATAACAATGCTAAAAGGGAAACATCAGAGGCGAGTATGATCATAAACAGGGAGGATATGCAAGATAACTTCCAGATAGAGGGGGGAAAAAATGGAGCTCTAGGCACTGGCCAAAACAAACAGGAGTCACCATGAGCGGATGGGGGTCATTCCAGGCTACTCTGTGAATTACATCAGAACCAGCATTGCCCTTCATATGGCTTCACAAAGAGTGGCTTTAACACTTGAATGTAACTGGAAGAATGAGACAAAAATGCTGCACCCACAGTCAAAGAAAACCAAGAAGGAAACTCAAGGAGATAGAAGTTAGCAGTCCAATTTCACCTGAGGGAACAATTAAGAATTATCTATCACAGTTGAACTAATGGATCTTTATTTTTAGAGGAGAGCATTGGGGAGTTCTAAGAGTTTTCCGCTCTTAGCTTGTATTTAAATAATAAATAACTATCTGAGTTCTGGGGAATGTTCAAGACAGCAGTTCATGCATTTGCAGACAGGCCACAAGAAATTGTTTTCAAAATCAAAACAATAATCAGCATTCCTGGAACCAATTCTGATGTTTGGCCATCTCTTCATAAAACACACAAGTAAATAATTTCACCTAGTGTTGCTACTGGGGTCTGTCCTCTTAAGTTGGATGACATTTGTGAAACTTCAGGATTGATCTGTAAAAAAATAAATCCTGTAAAAATAATCCTGATGGATTTTCAGCCATCGACAGGCTGAACAAGCCTGGATATAAATGCACCTGTATTGAAGTTTCTCTATGTCTGAAAGAAGGGCTGAAAATCAAATCTGATGCTTTTCATCTGCTTCAAACTCTGAGTAAAGTGCAGACCCACAAAGCTATCCCTAATTACTTACTTTAAAAGCATCATGCACTTTGTATTGAGCACAGCCTTTAACTCTGTCTGCAAGCTATTTCTAGGGATTGCGTCTTTCTCTATCCATTTCACACACCCACCACAGCAAAAGGTCACTCATAAGTGTACATCAGGAGTGGAAGACAGTGAAGAACTCTGCTAATCAGACCTGCTCCTAAACACTTACTGTTCAAAGAGCTGAGTGGGGCTACACACTAATGTATTTGACCCTTCAATAGCTTAGTAGCCAATTAGCTTTCTAAAGGCTATGATGAACTGCAGTCATTTACTGGGCATCCACACACTCCACTGTTATGTTTAACAAGCAGTGGGACCACTGACAACTGCCCAGCAAGGCCCTCTACACCCTTAGTGCTGAGTCTGCTCCTCCCTCTGTCCTGTCCTGACACTGTACAGGAAAAATGATGGGAAAACCACAGCTTGAGATGACTTCCACAAAGAAAGAAATGTCATTCACAAAACTGTAAGGTTCCAGTCAGCTCCATAATTTGCCAAGTTTCCCCTAGAATTCGTAGGAACAGCTCCAGAACATCAGCTCGCTCTGCTGCATCAAAGGCAGGCCTTATGTTCTCTTCCAAGTACCAAAGCATCAAAGTCATAAACACCTGGAAAACCCAAGGTGATCCTTGACATCTTCGTTGGAAAGATGGTTATGAAATGCCAGACCCCGTCTGAAGATGTTCACACCTTTGTTTGACAGGTCTAGCTCGTGTTTCTCTCTGCCTCACCACAGCATTCTTGGCCAGCACTGGAGCCCATCATGGCAGAACACTTTGTTCCCACCCGTAACTCACAAACTGGCAGCTCTGCTGATCTTCTTAGATATCAAAGCAAGTTTGCCAGTGCTCACAAAGTGAAGTCTAGGTACATAGATGAGGAGACACATTATCAGACTCCTTCTATCCCTCAGTGTCCTTCAATCAATGCAGCTCTTGAAGACCAGCAGGGCTGATAGCACAGCAACCGAACTGTGCAGCTGTGAACACCATTTACCTGAGAAATAACTGCACATACGTAGTCAACTACTTGTGAAGGGCATTTATTGGTCTGGTACCAAATCACTGAAACACTTAACACATTCTTAAGTCATATATGTCCCACGAGTGAAGTGTGTCCTTGGCAGGAAGCTGAATCAGAACAAGCTTAAACACATGCCTAAATATATGCACACATCTAAGTGTCTCACTGAATTGTGGCTGTGTTGACATTTGTATCACCAGACAAGGTGTCCAGAAGAATCATTTATTAGTTCCTTCTCTCTCCCCCTTTACCTTTTCTTTTGTACTGGTGCCTTCAAAGAGAAGTTGTGCTTCATACCGAGTAGGCACCACTAATCAGTCTATTTTAATAAAGAGAAAAATTAGGTGAGAAGAACAACGGTGACTGTGAAATTGGAGAGAGGTTGATGTGTTATTTTCAAAGCCCCTAATTTTTTTTTTTTAAAGTGCTGTATTTTAGCACTTGGCACCAGTGATTATGCAAAATAAGGCATTGGGCTCATCAACTTTGAGTCAGAATTTTCTTTAAAAATTTCCAGTAAGCTAAACTCAATGGCAAGTCAGGGATGTTTGTTTCATAAATTAAAAGGAAATTTTCCCCTTCTAAGTAGCAAAGCCAGAGAGTGGGAATGTACTTTTTTTTCCTCCATATATGCCAGTTATGCTGTTGTACTCTCAAAATTTCATATGCTTTCTGTGCCCCTCGCTACAATCTGCCTAACAACAGTTCAGCCTGTTTGAGAGCTACATCTAAGACTCAGCCACAATTCATCAGGATCAGATGGCAGGCAGTCCTGAATGCATCTCCTGAGAGCTGGACACTGCTCACCCGTCATGGAGCAAAAACAATTATCTGAAGCTCCCCACCTGCTCCAGGGCCACTTCGTCAAATACGATACCTCAGGGGGTGATGCCTCCCTGTCACACTGATTTTTTGGATGTTGACATAGTGGTTGGAGTGAACATCTGTTGCTGCTACTCCACTGTGATCTCATTTAGACTCTCCAGAAACAAAGATGAAAACTTGTTTTGGTGTCTCCCTCCTGCCTGCTCCACCTGAGAAACCCTCTGCATTTCATCTGAGCAGCTGAACAGCTGTGACCAGCTGACACTTTATTCCCTTCTCTCTTTGAAACATCAGTTTAATTCCCAGCTACTTGCTCACTGAATCCTCACCACTGGTGGCAGGCTTCGGGACATCTAGCTGTGCATATGGCCATTTTCTCATCCTTTCATATAAATATCTCAGAACCCAAATCAAGGGGAAATCAGACCATTTGCTTTTGAAGCCAGTGGAAACTGTGAAGAAACAAACAACCAAAAAAAAAATGGCTGCAAAATCTGGCTGCAAATCACAGAGAGAAACTCCAAGGTTGGGTGTCCCACTGAATGGGAGTGTGCTGACATACTAGGACTGAACAAGGGACTGGCCAGTTAGAGAACATACTGGAAGCAGTGGGTTGCAGCCTGCTGTGCTCCCTTCTGTGGCTGTGTGCATCCTGCAAACCACTCAGAGCAATGCATCCTGTTCCATATCTCTAATATTTGCTCATTATTCTGGTTTTGGAGCTTTGGGATGAGTTTTGTAGTCCTCCTACCTCGTTCCAGTTGTGCAAGTGAAAACATAATTCCCTTTCTAAACAGCTTCAGTGTACCTGGGTGAGTTGAAAACTGGCACAGAAGGCCAGGCTCCACCACCATGTAATGCTACTGAAACAGAGACATGGGCAGGGTCAGGGAGGAGAGTTAGGCTGGGCAATGTAGAAAGAACAGTCTGTTTGTGTACCTGCTCACAATTAACCTGTGGGAAGCTACCAGTTCTCACCCTGCACCTCAGCCTAAATGGCTTTTTTTTAGGCTGCAAAGTGAAAACTCAAACCAAAACTGCAGTCTTGTAGGGTTTCAGGCTTAGATATATCAGCCCCTCTTTTCCAAAGGTGACAGCAATAAGAAGATGATGGCTGATGCTTTCTCCCAACAGCCTCTAGCTTTAATGAGCATTTCCTCTGCATTTAAGATGTAGCTGCCTCTCTAGACTGGTGACGCTCTGTCTCATGGACAAAGCTTGCACAAAGCTTACACAAAATGCCAGTAAATAATGACTGCAATGTAATCATAGCTACCTACAGGAGAGACATTTCCTCAGTACGACAGCTTCCAGAAGTTCAAAGCTTTGCGTGAGCAGAATACATGAAGGCTCTCTGTGTTAACTAATCAGTGTTTCCATCTCTATGTGATCATTTTCTAAATTGCCATAAAAGTGGCACCAAGAGCAGTGAAGATGACACTCTTCTGTCTGGGTGCTGTAATCACACTGAATGTGTCTGAGCAGACTGCATAGCAAATGGGCACTGGAGATTTTAAATATCTCAGTTTTCAAGATCAAACATCAAGAGCTAGTTCCTGTTTCCTTCTCAGTCACCTCTCCTGACTCCATCAGGCTATTGCTACAATGCTGAGTGATATGTGGCAGCATGTTACTCTCAGTGGAGATTAATTATTTCTTTTTTAAGACTCCTACATCCCCCATCCCCTCTGGGTCTCTAAGTTGGTGAAGCAGCATGTCAAAAACTAATGGGAAGGTGTGAGACGTGACATGACTTTACAAGAAAATAAAATTTGGGACAAGGGAGATGGAATTTGGATTTTGACGACAAACTTTGTTTTTCTGTTTGTTTCTTCCACTTAAGAATATGTTTCTATTTTAAAACCTGAATTCATTGCTGTGATTCATACCGTAATTACTACAGGAAATCGGGAGGGACTGCACCTGTGTTGGACCATGAGAGAGCCCAAAGTGACGCTGGTTCCTCCTCACACTGACTAATCCCCTTTGTCTGCTGTGCACAGGTACCTGCCCAAAACTCCTTCAGCCCCCAGATTTCCGTTTACAGCTGTCTCCAGAGTGTCACAAGGAAAGATGATGGATGGGCAGAATTTTACTTCTGTTAGAACGAAGCCAGCTGAATATTTCCAACCACTTTATTAAAAATGCTAGTTCTTGCTTTGCTTAATCTTGAAAAATGTGACATGTTCCTGCAGCTGAGTTTGCATTTTGTCTAGGAAATGAATGCCTGGGGTGGAATGATCTTCTGGGGGAACTGAGCAAGATGCAATTTAATGCCTCCCCTCTCAGAGGCAGAGAGCATCCAGCGTGGGAGAGAGAGGCTGATAGCCCACAACTGCCATCATCCCACAAGAGCTGTACTTCAGATTCTTGGGAATGTGACCCGTGAAGTCCAGCAACAAAGGCAGTCAGGCTGGTAACTCCAACTGGAGACCTCCCTATCATCTCAGCCTCACTGCTCCACTCCCTGACTACCTCCAAGCCCTGCAGAGCTTTGCTCTCCCTCCTCAGTGGGATTCTGTAATCCCTGCTGATGACACACTGCTCGTGATCTGTAGTTGGCATCGGTTACAGAAGATTTCTGGAAGAGAGCACTGAACTGTTTGGGTTTGGTGGGATGGGGTAGCAGGGAGGGAAACAAATTAGAAGCACAGGAGCTTGGCTTCTAACACAGGGGCCTGAGGGTGTCATATTTGGGTGAACAACTGCTCTATCACAGTGTCTGTGTAACTAAAACTCTGTCCAAAGAACAGAGTTTGTTCAAGGTTTTTCTCTTCTTGCACTGCTTTTCCTATTTCCCTCTTGTTTTCCCAGAAATAGAATATGACATTTATTTTTATGGACAGCATGATCTTATGGCTATTCCCCTGCCATGGAGTAATCTGAACACAATTATGTTCTGTTGACAAAAAGTGATAAAAGTGTGCTGTGTCAACACTCAGAACTAACAGATTTGTCATCTGCTCTACTCCCAGATAATAGAAACAGAATTAGAAAATGCTCTGACAGACTCTACCCTTTCCTATGGTTAGGTAAGCCCCAGCTCTCTGCTTGGTTACTGTACTCCAGCATTCTCCCTCTTCCAGAAAGATCTGCCTAGTTTTAAATTCAAGTGTAAATTTTGCTTTGATGGACTCTTTGGCAGCTTATGGCTTATATTCTCTAAAGCAATTTGACCTGCGTTCTCCATTTCACTTCAGTTCTACTATTACCATTTCTTTCCATGGCTTGGAAAAATCCAGCTTTTTTGTGTATCTTTTTTTTTCCCCCATCATTCTAAATAATGAATTTGACAATATTATGTGCATTATATCTTCCCTCCAGCTGACTTCCCCTTGAGTTCATGGAGAGAAATCTACCTGCACTCTTGTTTTCCTGAGACAGGCACCCACATTTTGCCCAACATGTAGGGCCAGCCCCAAACACATGAAAATTTTAAGTGAAAAGTTGTGCACACATCATAACATAAAACAACATCCCCTGCTAGGTTTGAAGACAAGTTTGCACTTCCAACTGTTGGTTAGTTGGATGACACTTACTGTTTAAGAACTAAAAGAATGATGAAATCATTCAAGCAAAATAAAAGAAGCTTTTTCATGGACAAAAAAAAAAGCAATTTCCAAAATTTCTGTAAAACATTTTGTTTTCCAGCCGTGATTCTTTCACTGTTAAATGCCATTAAACAGCATTTCTACTCAAAAGGGCCATGTGCGATGCGTATTAGGGCTTTCCAAAATTAGGAATCAACAGCCATCAGGTACAAGTGTTTGGAATGAGTCAAGCATGATAGATTTGGTCTCCTGGCTAATGCCTGTCTGAAAAGACCATGAGCATTGGCCTCCCCATCAGAACACAAGAGTTGATAGGTGCCAGGAAGGTGCTCTTACCTTACATGACTGGTCCTGTCTCAGCTCATTCCCCCAGTTTCCAGGTTAATTATTATGTCACACTGCAACTCCCGAAAATCAGCTCTTTTAGGACCACAAACATCAGAGTAACCCAAAATCTACTTTAATTTGAGGTAAATGCTGGACTTACTCTTTCTCCAGTCTATCAACTACAGCCCACTTTGCTCCTCAGCTCCTGCAGTTCCTCAGCTCATCCAAACACAAGGAACTTGTCCCTGTGCAAGCAGCATTTTTCACAGGTTTTTCCTTTGGTTTGGTACATTTGTTGTTTGAACAGAAAAATGCAATCGATTTTGACAGTAGAGTGAAATGAGTGCACATGAAAAACGATTGTTTATTCCCCTGATACAGCTTCTGCCAGTGGGATTTTTAGTGTGGGGGTGGAATCAAAGCATTTACATCCTGAAATAAGAATAATTGGAATAGGGGCTTAAGGTATTTTGGCACCGTATTCTGATATCCATAGCAACCTTTACAGAAAATTGAGCTGGACATTGCAGTGGAAACTTAACACCATCTACAACTTAATTCACAACCCAAATTTCCCAGAAGAAGCCACAGCTCATTACCACACCTACAGAACCACTTGTGAAAGAAAGCACAGATCTGACTCTTGCTCTTCCTCCTCCTCTCTGACTGACAGCCAGACTTGGTGCTCAACAAAAGGATGCTGCTGTGAGAAAACAGCTAAGATAAAAAAAAAAAAAAAAAAGGTGCTAAAGTTCTTTGCAGAATTGACTTAAAGCAGTGAATACATTGTGTAATGAACAAGTTTGGATAAAATTAAGCTATATCCCTGCAAACAAGATTTTTGCTTCCCCACCAGGTTGATGCTTTTCGTGTTACTGCACTTGAGGCTTATCAAGTCAATCTCCTTGAATAAATGAACATTTATCTTGTTTTATCAGTAACTTTCTTTCTATTCTAGTGTATCAGACCATATCAAAATAAGAAGCATACACCTAATGTGACTTACTATACCAAAACCACTTTGTCCTAACTATAATAATTTCATAAGGTTACACTCAAGATTATTTTTTGGTACAATTTGCTCATGATTTTAACACTAATCCAAAGTGTCTTAGAATCTAACATACTCAGCCTGTAGCACTTGAATTTTCCACTGGAGTCAACGAGGCCATTATTCACATGCTTAAAATTAGGCATATGCTTAAGTGCTTCGCCTTTGGGATAAAGAGCCCATTTGGGACTCTTTGGTACTTAGCTCTGATAAAATCCATCAGTCTTACTTAGATGATTAAAACAAAAGCATCCTTCTCAGAACTTCCAACAGATGTTTTCATAAATTTTAACATACTTCTTTTCCCTGTCTCATTCATTTCCAGTACAAGTATTCCCTTAAAAGCTGCATGAGGAAATCTGTAAACTCAATGGAGGAAATTTATTTGGACAGAAAGACATCTAAAGAAGTAGAACAGCACTTGCAATGATCTCTGGCCAAATTCTGCACCCGTTAACTTTCTTTATGCCTTTTCCCCGCTGCCAGATGTATCTGTGCAAATGAGATTTTCCAAAGTAACTATTGTCTTATCTGAATCCCAGACAATTCTTTTAATAGACTCTGAGCAGAGTTTTTAACAAACCAAGCGAGTGTGTAACTGCTCGCTCCATATGTCTGAAGTGTATTCTTTCCTCCACCCGCCCCATCTCATTCTGTCGACAGCGTGCATTTTGTCAAACCCCTTACTGCAAATCATTCAGTCAATGAAACCGAAAGACATTTCAGCACATTTTTATCAACGGAATGTAATTTTGTGCAAATCATGCTGTCAACAGGAAGGAATGCCAAAAGGAAAGTGAAAGAACCCAAACTCATTTTGTCCGCAAAAAGAAAAATTACCGTTTGCTTTTATTTTGTGCATGTAGACAAAATGGAAATACCAAAATTTCCCCATCTGTGAACAAAATTGAGATTGATCTCTTAATTTAGGAGACCGAGTGTTATTTGATAGAAAAACACCACCTCTATGAAGGACCACTGAGATGCTGAGTCAGAAGAATTTCTCCAGCACTGCACACCTTTCACTGTTTTTTTTGTACCAGTGAAATACCACCTGAGATATTTAATCCATTGCAGCAAAATACTCAGTGGTAGACTCGAATACAAGCCTGAGCTAAAGAAAAACACAGATGCTGTTTCATTTTCCACTTGATGAATGGCTTGGGTTGCTCTGCAGGTGCACATCCAATGCTATGTGGTCACTGATGCTCCTCACGGCCTTGTGCCATAGCTGTGGCCACCTTCTATTTATTTTTCTCCATTGTGATGTTTCATCGGTTTGTTGCTTTGAGTTTTGGTCTTGCTATTATAAAACTTGTTCTTTCAGCAATTGTCTCTACACCTCAGGTCCCAGACTGCCTGGCACAGCACGGTGGTCACTAAAGTTCTGAAAGACAAAGCAAGACTGATTTCACCAACTGCCTTGCAATCTTTCTCCATCACAGAACTGGAACCAGTTTTTACTTTTCAACAGCTAAAGGGCCCTTTTTTGCTGGTCCACACTGGATTCCTGCCTGGGCTTCTGTTAATGCCCAGGAAAACCCAGCTAGGCAAAATGCCTGGCTGCTCTAAAGGTGAAGTGAAAATTGGCCCCTGGGAGAAGAAGGTTACAGGAGGACATTAAAACATTTGCTTTCCTACACCTACTCAGGTTTTACTTCAAGGTATGCTCCACTGATTGTGACTATAAGGTCATTTTTTATAAGGATGGCTGTTTGATTCTCCTCCATGCTTTGATACTATTTTTCTATGGACTGGAGTTATTTCTTAATACGGTAAAAACCAACAGTAACCTTCCTGGGGTTTTTTGAAGAATTTCACTGTGTTTTTAGATCACCTTATCCCTTCCAGTTCTTCAGTGAATTGTTCAAATAAGGCCTTGGAGAACTGACAGTCCCGAAGGCTTTGTATGGGGCTGGAGGAGCAGGGATGCTGGCTATTATCCAGCATTTTAGAAATCAGAATGAGACTTCGCACATGCCATTTTGGTACGCACTGTGGGGGACCACAGATCATTTTCTCCATCAGTTCACAGTCTTTACTGGGGAAAACGATGGCCCAGCCAAATTCCCCAAGTCCTGCTCATCCACAGGAGAGGGATGCACAGAGAGAAGGTACACATTGTGCAGCATTAAAAATGTAACTGCTTTGAGACACGAGCCAACACACTGACACCAAAAGCTGGCAGCAAATATGTCAGAGGGATCACGAAGTTGGCATGAGAGGGTTTCAGCTAATACAAGAGATTATTTTCAGGGCCTTATTGCGTGCCAAGCACAACACAAAGCTGGTCTCAGAGAGCAGCACTTCTGCTGGAGCCGTGGGGGGTGGCAGTGGAGCAGAGCAGGCGCTTGGGGAGAAACCTGGCCCAGGTTTTTATGTGGGACAGCACTAGGGCTCTGCAGGGACCAGCTACTTTTTGGCTCTGTGTCACTGCTATGTGTCCAAGCTAGTCTCTATTTGCAGCAGTCTGCCTAAAGTGCCTCTGGGGTGGGTCACCTTTCTGAGCTTCATGCTTGCCTTGACATAGCACTAGGAGGGAGAGCTGGTGAATCCCTTTGGCTGCACCAGGATGCTTGAGATGGCTTTCAGATTTGAAAGCCATCATTTTTTTCAGCATCAGGGACCTCCTCTTTAAACCTTACCTGCCTTTCTACCCAGAAGAGCCCCAAAGGCAAGAAAGTATTCATTGGAATCATAGCATTAATTTAGAAGCTGCAGATAGATTCAGTTGGAAGAAACGTCCTGAGGAATGAAAAAAGGATTTCATACCCTTTTGCTGTGAACTTCTCATGGTGTCTTTTTGCCATTTTGTTTGTGCTGACAGGGCTGCATATTG